TGGGGGCAGGAGGAGAAGGGGACGACAGAGGATGAGATGGCTGGATGGCATCACCGACTTGATGGGCATGGGTTTGGGTAGACTCCGGGAGTTGGTGATGGACAGGGAGGCCTGGCGTGCTGCGATTCATGGGGTTGCAAAGAGTCGGACACGACTGAGTGACTGAACTGAACTGAACTTTCTTAACTGGCTGTGAATTTGCTTTTTTTTTTTTTGACAAAGAGATATTCCAATAATAGTTTGGGCAAAACACTTTGGGAATAAATGAATGACTGTCAAGTGAAATGTTAAAAGAACAGGATTCATTTGGATGTAAAAACTATTTAATCTTCAAATAAAACCCACTTAATTGTTTTATAGTCACTAATAAGACAATAAGTATAAATGAATAAATAATCCCTTCCATTCATACAAAGCAAAATTCTTTGTGTCCCCCCCCTGCAGCCCCTGCCCCAGAGCAATTTCATCTGCTCTGAGGGCTTCAATCACCACCCTGGTTAACTCCTAAATCTGAATCCCCAATCTCGGCCTCCCCTCTGGGCTCTGGATCCTCTCCTGCCATCTCCATCTGATGCTCCATAGACACCTCAAACTCATCATGTTCAAATCTTAATCAATGAACTTCCCCCTCCCGTTAAAAATTAAATCAAGCTCTTCTACCCAGTTTCCCAAGCTGAGAAACTAAGTTTTTACTTTTCTGTTGACCTTCAAAGCCAATCACTTTTTAAATTCTACATTTGTAAATGTAAATTCTACATGTAAATTCTACATTTTTATCATCTGTCCTCTCCTTTTCATCCCTATTACTATTTTCCTGCTCAGCTCTTATCCTCTCTTATCTGGGCTATTTCAATAGCACCAGCTTTCTAACTTATCTCTCTATCTTTTGCCTATCCACCCAATCCAGCATCTACATCAGCCACCACCATGTTGTCTTTCCTAATTACATAAAGTTCCTCACTGGCTTGCCATTGTCTTTAGAATCAAGTCCAAAGTCCTCAACACGATACAAAGGCCCTTCACCAAATGAAGACTCTTTCTCTGAGTCATAACTTTTTATATGCCTAATCTGTATGTTGTTTTATAGCATATCCTATACTTCAAAGTATTAAAACTACCTTTAACACCATATTCTATAGTGAAAGATTATGTCAAACAGGAAAAAAATCTTCTTTATTTCAAATGAAAGGTACTGAAATCCCAAACCTAACCTAATTTCTAGAAATTTCAGCAATCCTAACATGACTGGCAACCAAGATCTGCAACCTTTTTATTTTTTCCAGTTTATTTCCAGGCAACATCTGTTAGCCCAACCCCTCATCTCTATACACTCTGACGTTTAATGACAATGTGGACTACAACACGTTCCTGAAACAACCATATACTTCCACCTAATATTCCTGGTTTGCATCCATATCTTCTGTTCCCTTCCCCAACTCAGCAAACTCCTATTCATCCTTCAAAGCCAAATTCAAATATGGTATAATCTCACTAATCCTCCTCTCTCATATATAGAATTATCTTCCCTCATCAATGGTCCAATTAAACTCTTAACTTTATCTCTGTTATGGGCTTCCCTGCTAGCTCAGCTGGTAAAGAATCCGTCTGCAATGCAGGAGACCCTGGTTCAATTCCTGGGTCAGGAAGATCCCCTGGAGAAGGGACAGGCTACCCACCCCAGTATTCTTGGGCTTCCCTGATGGCTGAGACAATAAATAATCTGCCTGCAATGCGGGAGACCTGGGTTTGATCCCCGGTTTGGGAATCCTTGGATTGGGCTCCCCTGGAGGAGAGCATGGCAACCCAATCCAGTATTCTTGCCTGGAGAATTCCATGGACAGAGGATCCTGGTGGGCTACAGTCCATGGGGTAGCAAAGAGTGGGACACGACTGAGTGACTAAGCACAGCCCGGCATGTATCTCTGTTATAACTCTTATCACCCTGAAATTGTAGGGACTTATTTACATGTCTGGTTATAAGCATCTTGAAGTCAGCGAAACATTTTCTTGACTCTAACATTTAACTTATCCTCTGCAAAAAGACATTTTAAACTACTTATTGAAAAATAATCCCCTCTCATAGTATTAAGATAATGCCATAATTGCAGTAACTGAGTGGCTGAGAGAGCTCAAAAACAAAAAGAATCTCATGTCATTCACCAGGAAAAAAAAATTTTCATACATATATAAAGCATAATTAAGTTGAAGCTTGGATATGCCTTCATCTATACTTTGTAATACCAGTCTCTCTCTCTCTTTCCTTCTTTTTGAAGAAGTTCTTCACAGAACTTTCTTTTAAGTATTCCTTGGATTTCATTTGTATCTCACTCACAGAATTCTAAACTCAGTATAGTGAAAGGGCAAAGATCAGGATTTTTGGAGTCCAACTGTCTGGTTTGAATCCTACCTAGCTCCGGCACCTAGGCTGTTTGATATGGGAAAGTTATTCAACCTTTCTATGTTGCTCAAAGAGGAGATCATAGTAATAACACCCCTCAAGGTGGTTCTAAGGATTCAATAAGCTGATACATGTAAGAATTTAGAACACTGCCTAGCCCAAAGCACATCCCAATAAATGCTGGATGATGTTATCGTTATCATCAGTTTTTAAAAAACTTTCTCTGTACTTATGCTAGCCTACGGGGCTTCAGTCCATGGGGTCACTAAGAGTCGGACACGACTGAAGCGACTTAGCATCAGCAGCAGCATGGAACAAAATGTAATCTCCTAGATGGAAGGAATTAAATCTTGCCCATACAAGAACTGTTAGTCTCTCAGTTGGGTCCAGTTCTTTGTGACCCCATGGACTATAGCCTGCCAGGCTCCTCTGTTCATGGAATTATCCAGACAAGAATACTGGAGTGGGTAGCCATTCCCTTCTCAAGGGAGAAGATATTGACTTCCTGACTCAGGGATTGAACCCAGGTCTCCTGCATTTCAGGCAGATTCTTTATTGTCTGTTGATCTTGGCGGACTGAAGCCTTATACTCACGTTATTTACTGAGCACCTAATACATTCCAATGCACAGTTTTTGCATTATATTAATGTATATATTATACGTTATATACTTATATTAACGTATGGGTGGCTTCTCTGGTGACTCAGATGTTGTTGTTTAGTTCCTAAATCCTGTCCAACTCTTCTGTAACCCACCTGGTGGGACTGTAGCCCACCAAGCTCCTCTGTCAATGGGATTTCCCAGGCAAGAATACTGGAGTGAGTTTCCATTTCCTTCTCAAGGGGATCTTCCCAACCCAGGGATCGAACCCACGTCTCCTGCACTGGCAGGCATATTCTTTACCACTGAGCCACCAGGGAAGCTGCCCACACAGGAACGTAAGTGCTAAAACTGTGCCTTAGAATATATTAATGCTTAATAAATAATGTGAATTTAAGATTTCAGTCTGCCAAGACCAACAAATTAGAAATCACAGCAAACCTCATATATGGAGTACATGCTTGAAATTGGTGTTTCAAAACATCCATCTTGCACTGAACTGTTGAAACATGTAAAACTGTTAAAGCAAAACAAAAATTATATTCACTAGAAACTTTCCCTCTACTTCTCCATTTAATTTGGTCTTGGTACCCAGTGGTCTAAAATTCTTGTCTATAATGTAAGACTTACTACAGATCATTTAAAATAAAATTTCCAGGGTTTCCCTGGTGGCTCAGTGGTAAAGAATCTTCCTGCCAATGCAGAAGGCATGGGTTCGATCCTTGATCCAGGAGGATCCCACATGCCATGGAGCAACAAAGCCCATGTGTCACAATTATTAAACCTGTGCAATCTAGAGCTGGTCCTCCACAACAAGAGAAGCCAACAAAAGGAGAAGCCCAGGCACTGAAACTAGAGAGTAACCCCACTTGCTGCAACTAGAGAAAAGCCTGTGCAGCAGGGAAGACCGGGCACAGTCACCAAAAAATTAAGAAACTATTTTAATAATAAAATATAATTTCCAGTTTTAGAAAACTGCCTATTGTCACATCAGAAAAATTAATATTCTTCCTTTATATACTCATTAAAAAAAAAAATCTATCAACACACACACACACAAACTAATGAAAAGCCAAGGGACACAATTACTACATTTCCTGGTTTCTGCCTGGGAAACACTTCAGAACACGCCTACATTTATCCCTAGTCAGTGTCCTGGTTACAAACTGTTATTCCTTTTTTCATTTCCAGTCTTCCTCCAAAAATCTTCCTCCAAAACTCCTCACACATTCACAAACCCACAGAAAAGAACGCAAATGTCTATAATAAAAGCTGTACCAAAAATGCGGCTATATATTAATATATTTTGTTTTGGGCGATTTAAATCTTACAAAAGCTAATATCAGTCTTGATTTGAAGCAATACTCCTAGCTTACTTTACCAGGTAACTTAAACTACAACTATTTACCCAAAGCAAAGACACAGATCAACTGCTACCAAACTTCTTGGTAAATGATTCGGTAACAGGGTAGTGTACCATTCTAGAAAAATTCATTAATCAATGAAAAATGGACCACACTTCCAACAATGGTGATTGGTAAAACATGAGCTAAAACAATGTACACAGTAAACTGATATGTACGACTTTCTATCTAAAACACCGTAGGTGAACCACTAGCTTTAGGGTAAAGGTTTACAAAGAGCCTACTATGTGCCTGGCGCTTAATAGTTGTTTTACAGAATATACGATACCTAACATTTATAGGACACTCTCACTCATCTCATTTGACCCTATGAATACCGCCTGGCAAAAGCATCCCGATTTTACAGCTAAGGAAACGAGGCCCAGCAAAGTCGACGTTAACCGAGGTATCACATCTGATACGTGGGTCCAGGCCGAAACTCCCGCCCCTGACTCATATTATGGTCATCTTCTGTCATACTATAATAGTTAGAAACTCTTAGATGTTCCACTGTCAGATTTTTTTAATCAAAATCCTACTTGACGACTTTACTGTGCTCGTCAGCTTCTGTTAAGGCTCAAAACACAAAAAAGCAAAAATGTTTGAAAAACCCACCTTCTCAGCCTGTCGCGGCTTAATACCGACGAAAGCCCCGCGTTTCCTCCTGAATGCCGGGAGCTCCCTGCCTCTTCCCCAGGACCGCCGAGCGCCCCCGAGCGCCACCCGGACGACGGTCCCCGCGCCCCGAGGTGAGCGGCGAGGAGACCCTCAGTCAGGCTCCATCACAGCCGCCTCCGCCAACCAGCGGGCTCCCAAATCCAGCGTCCGCTGGGCGCGGAGCCGCACGCTCGTGAGTCCCTCCAGGCCGGGGAGGTGGCGATACGGCCGCCAGCCTGCTCCCGCTCTGCGGCAGGACGGCTCCCGACGCCCCAAGGCCCGGCTCCCAACGTGCGACACCCTCCGCTGCGAGGGGCCGAAGCCCCTGCCTCACAACCCGCCCTAGGTCACCGCGCTCTTACCTGCGCTGGGCCTCGAGGCCGCGTCCGCCTCTGGGCTGCGGGGCTTAATCCTCTCAGCCTAGGCGCCAGGTCGGCTGAGTTCCACTTGGGGTGGGCTCTGTCCCGCCCCCGCAGACCCGGCCGCAGGCCCCGCCCCGGCCCGGCCAAGCCCTGTTCTTATTGGTTCATGTTCCCACCCCTCACCTTTGGGCCCTCCCTTGGACCCGCCCCCGGCACCGCCCGAGGACCTTCCTGCGGGGAACCGCCCGGCTCGAGTCCAGTGTGGGGGCCAGAACCTTGCCCAGGAGCCTGGGCGCCAAGAGGCTGCGGCTCCGGCAGGCAAGCGGCAGGCACGACTGTCGTCCGGCCGAGGCCTCTAGACAAAGCTCCTTAGTTGTCACCGTGCCTGCCGTCCAACAGGCTCCACGGCGATGGACAAGAACTTCACATAATGTTGACTCTTCACAGCTACCCGTGAGACAAAGCCTAATCAAGAAATTCAAATGGCACCTCACTCGAGGAAACCGTACAACTGTCTCCTGCCAACGAGTGTAGTAGGCCTGGTGTCTCCAGTGAAAGAGGAGCATCATTTCTCGGGCTGAGCCCGGGGGGGCAAAAATGTCTCCGGCAGTTGCAATGCAGCCCCGACTTGAAATGTACAGCTTCATATAACGCTCCCGACACTCGAGGCTTGCAATCCCAGAGCAGAGGTGCCTTTGGTACTCCTAGTGCCTGAGGTCAGCTCCCACGCCCTGTTGTGATATGATTAAGCGCTGCGCCTTCAACACGCGCGTCCTCAGGTATGTGCATGGCGCGGTGCCTACTGCGAGCAGCAGCCCAGTTTCACTAAGGCTGCGAGTCAAGGATGAGTTGTGCCTGTTTCCCAGGCACTTGCTAACTACCCCACCCAGACTGGGCCCGCCCGATTCCACCCTACCCCACACCACCCCGCCAGAGCCTCTTGGATCTTGTGACCAAACTCTTCCCACATCTGTTCATAGGAGGGTACCAAAATAGAAGACCAGAAAGAGCGGTGTTTGGTCAAACATCACAGATGACTGTCACAGGTCAACTTAGCTAAAGGAGTAAAAACTGCATATCCAGAACCGTTGTGAAACCATGAGCTGTGGACAATAAAACAGGAATTCTCTTCTATAATGGTGGGGGCGGGGAAGGAAGGAATGTCAAGACATGTTTTTAATCACTTCTCAGTGAGGAAATAAATGTGGATATTGTGAATATTGCTTGTGGTAAATTTTGAACAACGATCAGACCCTTCCCCCTCACCACCAAAAAAAATCCTCGTGTATTTAGAAAACTCCCCAAACAATTGTTTAAGATAAAATGTTGGGCTAAAACAGTGTGGTTTTGAAATTTATTTCAAAATTCAGATTTATTCCAAACTTCACATTCAGGAAGATTATAAGCCAAAATGAGCAGATCAAATTCCAAGTACTAAATGTGAAACCAAATCTTCATCTTCATCCTCTCTATGGATGTAATAAATGACATGTATGTATTCTACTGCCCTCTCATGGGTAAGATGGAGATATACATAATGGTAGTTCATGCCTTTTTAAATCTGAGAATAGAAAGTTTAATTTGGCAGTTTGTATTATTTTGGTAACAAAGAGGTCAAGGTAAAAGAAAAATCAGGTTGCCTAAGGGACTTAAAAATATTCAGCAAAGAGAACTTCAACTTCAGAAACCAGGGAGAGATTTCTTACACCAGGGCTAGTACAAACATGTTGTTGGAATCACACCTATGCTTAGGACCACCTGTACAGAATGTGTAAGCATGTAGGAATTTGTTTTTAATTTTTTTTTCCTTTTGAAATGTCTTTATTTTCTGAGCTATTTCACAAAATGCTCCTTTTCACATTTGTATCTGCTAATGCTATAACTTCATGCTGCAAACAATTTGATACTAGTTGTGGTCTATAAAAGAATGAGATCTTATTCCTTATACCTTTGCTGTCTAGGTATGTACCTGATATTTTAGATGTTTGGTCAGTAACTGTTTATTGAATAAGGTGAATGAAGTTATCAGCCCAACCATTGGATGGCAACACAACCATATGTGTATAGAAATATAGTCTGGTTAATTGGAATTCCACTTGACCTTGGGTAACAGGAATGATTCTAAAAAGTTACACGTGTAACTTTTCTTTTGGTAAATAAAATCATTTAAAATGTACCACTACTGCTGAGTATAACTTAATTGTGAATTACATCCTTAAAACTAAGGATCCTGGAGGAGGAAATGGCAACCCACTCCAGTATTCTTGCCTGAGAAATCCCATGGACAGAGGAGCCTGGCGGGCTACAGTCCACGGGGTTGAAAAGAGTCGGACACGACTGAGTGACTGATACTCTTCTTGGGCGAGAGATGTGTAATGGCAATCATTTAACTTGTTCTAGTTTTCCTGTTACTGTTAAGTGCAAGCTGTTCTTCCCATTGCCAGAATGTTCCCAATAAATAAGGAATATTTCAAGCAAAAGAAAAACAAAAAACTAAGAATCCTTTTGTAAGATAAATTCTCCCTAAGTATAACAACTCTTAATTACAGATTTTCTTTATTGGGTTACACCAATTATGTTTTTGTCTAAGAAAGTCACTCTTCAGCTGTATCCTGTCAAAAGGACTTTTCAGTGGTCTAAATGCCTTTAGCAAGTTCCATTCTGTAAACCAAAAGCCTGCGTTCTCCCTATAACAAATCATTTGCTTGTATTTTTGCCCTGCCTTAATAAATATTTTGCCTGAAAGTCATGGAGACTCTGCAGTCAGACAAACCCAGGTCTCCATTGCTACGTCTCACTAGGTATATCCTTATATAGGTCACTAATCTCAGTTTACTCATCTCCCCCAAAATGGGAACAATAATATCTATAAAGTTGTGCAAAGCATTAAATGAAATAATGTCAATGGACCAATATCTAATACAATCTTTGGTTTATAGTAGGGATTCGATAACTAGTAACCATTGCTATTTATACCCTACAATGAAAATCTCACCCATGTCATTATTTTGTTTGTTTTATTCTCCTGATTTAGTGCCTTCAGCAATTAAATTAAGTTCATAACACCAGGTTTCATAGCGATAGGCCATGCGGATTTGGGCCACATTTGTCCTTCGGATATCATTTCCAGCAGGGCCTTCTTCAAGGTAATTGTTGCCCAGAAACCTTGCTTTCTCCTATAAGAAAAAAGGAAACAGAATGATTGTTGTTGCTTTTTACCCTGATATGGACAATAATTACATCCTCCACAAAGATTCCTTCCTTACATTAGCTACAGGCAAGAGGAAAACAATAAACCACTAAGAGCACTCATCCAGTGCGTCAATGTGCATGGTCTGCTGAGAAATAAGTGTATTTTATCTTCCTTGCCCACATTCCTGGCCAGAGAGAGAGAATAATTCTTTCTAGACCCTGTCCATAGTAACTGCACATGATTCCCGAAATAATTTTTCAACATGTGTTTCTTCCAACTAATTTTTCAATATTCAGGTTACCAAATTCCAGACTCAGAAGGATAATCAAAGGCAGGTCTACCTCATGAGAAATTCCACATTGCAGAACACTGTTTCTTGCCACTTCACACATATCACAGGTACTCAGCTTGAAGACTTGTGCAGCAATGGCATATTCTTCCATTAGGGGCTCCTTGGGTTATTTATTTAAAAGAGGGAAAGAAAAAGGGATGCATTAAAAGAAATAACACATCCTGCACAAAAGAATAGTGAAATATCATGATTCGACTTTAAAATTCTAGATGGTAAGTAACAGTTCAGCAAAATATACTTGTATTGCTCAAAATTCCATGTGTGTACCTTGGTGAAGTGGAATTGCATTGGGTCATCTGTAGACAATGAGATCATTAGCCCTTTCTGGAGGAAATCTAAAAAAGGATTTCGGGCGTATTCTAGAAATAAGCTGTTGTTACTTAATGGCGACATAGCGATGGGAATCTGGGCTAAGAAAAACAAGTACTGTAACACAGGACTCTGAAAAGGAAAAGTGAAAAAAAAAATTTTTTAATATTGGAAAAGGGATGCAAACTAAAAGTGTTAAAACCCCATGATCTACTTCAGGTTTTAGCTTTCAACAAAATTATCACCTATTCTTTAAATCCCGTTGTAAAAAAGAATAGTTTTTAAATGTAAATACTATTTAGAATAAATTTATGAGATCAGTTTTCAGAAGCATTGAGTCAAACCAAATTGTTTAAGTTTTAATTGTCTAAGTTAATGGTCCATCTTAGGCAAAAGAATTCACCGTGAAACTTTTTTTTACTCTACAAGAAAGTTCTAACTCTCACAAGAGGCGCTTTGAAACATGCTACAACATGAAATCTGGCAAAAACCAGCTGAAGGTAGGCCAAGGCACCTCGCATTTATCCCTTGTCAGAGCTCTAAAATGAAAGTCAGGAGATCTGCATTAACCCCCCCTGCCACTGACTAGCTAGGTAATTTTGAGCAAATTTCTTTACTTCTCCGGGCCTCTGTAAAATGAAGTGCAGTAAATAATCTCAAAAATATTTTTTGCTCTGCTTTATTTTGATTCCAGTGTTGATAATGACTTGTGACAAAATGATAAGGAGGAAAAAAGCTATCCCTCTTGCTCCCACATAAAAGTTAAGGTTGAGAAGAGAGCCTCCAACTCACCTTTTTTAAATTCAGGCCATGAGAGATGTTATCTGCCGTCATGAATGCTGTCATGAGATGAGTGAGAGCTCCAGCTTCCCCACAATGAGGTCGGAACAGAAACGTGTTCATGCCTCGTTCCCTAGGGAGATGGAGCTATTATAGGAATCACAGGTGACTGGCCAGAACCTGACAACCATTCTGGGCCTAAAGTGATTTACAGAAAATCTGGTAGGAAAAATTAACACTCTGAAAGGGAGTGGGGCATCCAAAGGATTCAGCAAACCAGATAATTCCAGTTCATGCTGTTTAGTCACTCAGTCATGTCCTACTCTGCAACCCCATGGAATGTGGCCCAC